TTTATTATCTCACTGCGACTGGAACTGTTAAAGACAGGACACTAGAAAAAACTTCAGATGCAGAGATGTAGCTTATGTGAACTTGGGCCATATGCCAAAGTCATATTACTACATGTTACAGTTTTGATGACGTTTCCTTAATGATGAAACTTGTCCAGGTTTTCCACCTTGTTTTCCTATTGTGTTGTGGATTTCTCTACCATCTTACCATTATGTAATTTCCTTTTATGAAACACCTATCTTGCTCACTTTCAATTAAGTCTGAAGAGTCTAAAGATTTGAACTGTGAGGGTGGTTTGTACTTTCTGACAGAGAATGTAATCTTGGCAGTGTCAATGTGAAATGAGTAACTTACACAATTTATCTCAAAGCAATTTTTTTGTTTGTTTCCATTTTCTGAGAAGTTTGTTTTGGCATTACTCTTTCATGGGCAAGTGTAGAGATCAGCCTCTTTCACAATCTCAGTCCCAGAGATTTTGAAATATTTTTTGTGTATGTATTTGTGATTAAACAAAACAAAAAAAAAAAAAAAAAAAAAAAAGACATTCTGTGTGTAAGTTTCTAGTCCAGCAGCAAGACACAAATATCTACAGCAACTTTCCTCCTGAAACCATATCAGAGAGAGATGGGTCTTCATGGAGCTCCGTGGAGCTTGAACAACTGCTCAAACAGGCAGGAAAGCTGTCCCCTCTCACCATGGCTGTGTCTGACCAGCTCTGCACTCAGGGTCATCCCTGACACTTGTCCCCTCACCTACCATCAGACCTGAAAAGTATACAGCGCCTTCACTGGGTGCCTGCAAAAGGGAAAATCATTCACCTCAGAAGGCAGAGGTGCTTAAAGCAGAACAAGAAGGTTGTTGTGGGGTTAGGAGCCAGTGTACCAAATGCTCCCATACTGAAGACCTGCTGGGAGTTTTACAGGGCCCTGAAAATAGTTACAGATCCTTTTAGTCAGTTCTAGCATGTTCCTGCCCTGAAATCCTGAAAAAAAAGGAGCAATATTCATTGTGGAAAAAAAGGAGGAATTGTTCGTCAATTACAAAAAAAAACCCCAGAGAAGTGCACTGGTGGTCCCCCAGCAGTGCTAGTGGTGTGTGTTGGGCTGCTGCACTTCCTACAGAGGCATTTACTTTCTGGGGAGGTGGTGAGGTCCCCCTTGGGAGGCTCAGGCAAGTCCAGAGAAAATTTATGGCGAAAAGCACTCTCTGTTCCCTGTGGGAATGCCTCATAGCTGACCATGAGAACCCATTAAGCAACTGCTGTGACCTAAAATAACCTAACACTAAAAGTATTAATGGACTGTCCAAACTGTATGCTTTTTTTTTTTTTTTTCCCTTTTTATCTTTCATTTCTTTTAAAAGAGAAGTCCCTTCTCTGGGAGAGCTTTTCAGCCTACTCAGGAAAATGATAAGCTGATGGACTTTGCCTTTCCAATTCCCCCACTTTATCCCACCTCTTTGCAGCTCATGTTTTCAGAACAAAAAAAAAAAAAAAACAACTCCCTCTGCCTCAGAAAAATACATAAAGCCCAGCCAACAAAAAAAAATATCCTCTTCATACATATCTGGTTGTTCAGGCAAAGGATATTTAACATCAAAGTCTGAAGACATTTACCCCAAATTGCTTAATGCAAAGTATCAGGTGGAGACCTGTTGCTATTCACACACCTAAAAGCCACCCCTCCCCAGAAAGTTGGAAACCTGGTTGTGTAAAGTTCCTCTGGACTCTCCGCTTGTCCCAAATAGTAGTCCAGGGTTGCTTTTGTTTGTTTTTCAACTGTGTTGTTTGGTGTGATGATACCTCACCTTTCTTATAACTCCTGACTCCTCTTAGCTTCAGTAACGGTGCTATGGAGCTTACTTGGTTAAAAAAATAATTGAACAAAACACAAACTTTTAGTGGTCAAAATTTCTTTGGTTCTGAATAGGAAAAGCCTAAAACCTGAAAGCAAGGAGAGGGAAAAACTGTACTGAGTTTAACATAGTTGTGCTAATCAGACAATTTAAGTGAAATGGTAATGGAATAAAGAAGGATAAAAGGGTTCTTAGAAAAGGCAGGAGTGAGGGAGTTGCTAACTCATTTGAGACAAAAAGGGAGAGTTAATTACTATCTGTGAATCATTAAAAGGTTAGCTGGGGTTGGGGCATGGGGAAAAGTCTAATGTGAAAAAGAAAGATTTTCTCTAAGGAGATATGGTTTTTAGTAGGCAGAAGACAGGGAAGAACTTTAGCTCTCAGATTCATCTTTTGGAGTAAAGTCTCCTGTCACTCTCTGGACTAAGGTGGAATTGTGGTTTTGTGCAAGATGTGCTTGCATTGATACCTTCATGTTCTGGTACTTTAGGGCTTGTCTTTTGAGATCTCGTGCTGATGCCAACTGTTGTTTTCACTTACATTAATATTTGCAAGAGGGCATTTAGTGCAATGGGGGAAATATATCACAGGCCAGGATGTGACATAGAGGATCCAAGAATTTTGATGATTCTTTTACAGGGAAATGTTTAAAATTATGCTGGTAGGGACACATCAGTATGTTTCCTCTTTTGGTCCTTCAAACCAATGCATCCTGCAGTGACTTTGCTGCTCTCTGTTGTATTGGTCTGAGAAAAGAGATTGCTTCTACCTCCAAATTTGACTAGATGACAGTAGCACAGGCACTTCTGTTACGTGTTTCACTAGCTCTGCTGCTCCAGTGCTGTTTGGAAAACTAAAAGCCAGTAAAACACCCAAGCCAAAGGGACCATACACATGCTTACAGTGACAGGCACCAAAGAGCTGGTTGGATCCAGGGCATGGAGCCAGGTATCCTGCAGATCTGAGCTTCCATGTGTCAAGCAACAGCCTGATTCCACCCCCATTTTAACCAGCAGGAGACTTGCCATGAATTTCTTTGAATATGGGGTCCACAAAGGCATCTTTGCTTTATAAGGAGAGTGAATATTGCTTGGCACATTGAATAGAGATGAGAAGGAAGTCTCATTAAGTCAAGGACAATTGGCACTTTGCAGATAGCGAGCCAAATGTAGATTTATGGAGATATTGTAATATTTCCACTATCAGCAGTCACCAGGAGTTTAAAATGTGAATATTTCCTCCCTTCATTGCCCATTCATTCTTGTCTGTCACCGAAGAAAAGTTTGTAGTATGGAGCACTGCCACAGGACCTGCCATCCCTGTGCTTGAGGGCAGTGAAGAGCCGCGGGAACAGATGGATCAGGCCTCGATTTTGCCAAAAAACTTTTAATCTTTTTTCAGAAGACAAGAAGGAAGCTTGAATGGAAGATTGAAGTGGTCTGAGACTCAAAGGTCCAGAATGCTACAGAAAAAATCAAATTTTATTTGTAAATGCAATAATAATGCTCCATCCAGCTCAAGCTGAGCATACCAGAAAACCTCTTGTGGGAGTCAAAAAGAACTAATCTATCAAAAAATGAAATCTTCAATAAAAGTTTAGTTTCCTGTAGAGTTTTTAAATCAGAAATAGTAAAAGAACTTTCTGTGTGCTTAAATTAGGTTCTTATTACAAAATATTTCTCTATGGAAAAAAGCCAACACAACAAACCAAAGCAAATGAATAACTATCTTTTTTCAGCACAAAGTTTTTTTTTCATTCTATTTGAAAATACTTAATGGGTAGCTATCTTTTTTTTGTTTTTTACACACTCAAAAGTTTGGGTGGTGTTGGGGTTTCTTTTTTGTTTGCCTTGGTTTTGGTTTTTTTTTTTTTTTTTTTAGTGGTGTCTTTTTTTGTTTGTTTGTTTTTACTAATGTGCTTTTTATTACCACAGTGGTCAAATAGTTCCTTATCTGAGTAACATGCCAGTACTCCTCCCTAGGTCTGTAAGAAGTACATACCTCCAGGACGTCTTCATTTAGCATTTTCTGTAGGACTTGCAAGAACTTTAGCACTTGGGCTTGACAGAGCTAGGGATCTAAGTGCAAGTTGATTCATTTTGAGACTCTTAAGCACTTAGCTAACTTAGTTCCCTTATAACAGCATAATTACATTAATAATAGTAATGAAACAATTATACATAACTGTATTTTTCTATTTTAAAACAGCTTGAACTGACCATAATGCAGAAATGTTTGAATTAGCAGTGCCTGCACTGTCCCCAGCCTGGGAAATTGCAGGAGGTTCTCAGCAGCCTGCTCAAGCACACTGAGTTTTGTTGTTTTTAGACACCAGTTAGGACTTCCAGGCAGCTCTGCAGCAGAGTACAGCACGATTGTGTTGGTACTAATCTGGGATGCTCTGCACCATGTTCTCCTGAACGGGGCACACAGAGGTAGCCAGAAGACACACAAGGAGGCATTTAGCAAGAAGCCTCAAATCGTGTTGTGTTAAACCCACCAACTGTAGTATTCAATTATTTATGCTTTGTATAAAACAAGCAATATTACTTCTCATATAATCAAACCCTGTAAGAAGACATTTTCCTCTGAAGAAAGCCATGTTGATCTTAGACCAGGAATAACTTTTTCCTCCCCTTTCTTCTGTTATGTGAAAAGCTGCTTTTCATCCCCCAATCCTTATGTAAGCAACTAATTTCTGTGAGTTCTGCTCCCAAATGGACTAAAGATTCATTCCTAGGGAGTAAGTAAAGAAACATCAACACATTTCTTCTGATCCAAAAACTGTTGAAGCTGAACAAAAGCGTCCCAGTGGCAGACAAAGTGAATGCAGGGAGTCCCAGGTGAGCTGGATTCAGAGCACTTGGGACTTGTACTGTTCTGGCTGTCTCCCCCATGGTAGCAAAAAGCTGTGGGTAAGTGAACACCAATTTTTTTCCAAAGGCATGATCCCCACTTCGCTTTTCTGCCCAAGAAGACAGTATGACAGTGACATGGCTACTACTCTTACAGAAAACCAAGTACAGTAGAAAGCAATGAAAGCAGACATCACAAATAAAGGCAGAAGACCCTTTTATTTCGCATAGACAAAATGCAAAGAGTGTCTCATTAAATTAATATTAAAAAAAAAAATTAACCCCCTCACTCTACTGACATCACTCATCCTAATTAACAACAAAAAAAAAGAACAATCAAGGACCCATTTTCTAATTAAAAAAAAAAGTGCAAACATGATAAAAGACTTTTTGTTTTTCCAAATCAATGTTCCTGTTGAATTCACAAATAGGGTGATTTTTTTATTTTATTTTTTTCTCTTTTAAATCTTGTCTGATGGAAGTTCCAGTTAAAATGTTTTAGTTAAGTCTTCATGCATTTCGTAGAAAATCAGTAAAAACACAAACGCTTGTGAAGATCAGAAAACTGGACTCTTTTACCCAAAAATTCAGATGTCCAGTCAGATGAAGCTCACACTCAGACAGAAAAAAAGCAAGAGAGTCTTTGCACTGTCTGTCGCTCATATTATTTTTTTTTGTCAAATATTTTGGCAATCTTCTTCTTTAATTATAAATATTGGAATTCAATAAAAAAAAGGTAGCTTTCATTGGAGATTTTTTTCAGTGTAAATATTTACAGCCACTGTCCAGCCATGCTCTTTTTTGTTATACCAGGGTGTAAGATTTTGCGTAGGGATTGTTTCCTTTCAAGTGGCCCCGGGAGTCCAGCAGGGATTCTTGGGAGCTGCTCATTTTTGCTGCCTGTCCTAGCTCAGCTCCTTCTCGCTGAGGTAATGTTGCCACAGCACCAGGTTGCCATGACTGTACTTCTCTTGTGGAGGATGTCTCCATGGGGATTGGCTCCAGGACAGTGGGGCGCTTCAAGGTTCGGCTTTTCTGCGGCTCCAAGCAGGCTTGCCCCAAACCCAGGTCTCTGCTTGTGCCCTGCACGCCACGGTTCAATAAAAAGTCCATCCTAAGGTAGGGTGGCAAATGCATCAGATCACCTGGGGAGACAAAAGTGAAAAACAAATCCTTAATTATGGTCCTTTGCTGTGCTGTGCTCGCTTATTGGCAGGGCGAGTCAAGCTGGTGGCTTTGGCCAGCAAAGCAGAGTAATCAACCCAGCTGCAGCATTTGTAATTAATATATTGTTTTTCAGCCATTTACTATGCTATGATCTTACAGAGCCAAGGTTCAACAAGCTCTTTTTGGGCAGATCCATAAGTATTCACTACTAATACTTGCTTTCATAATAAAATGACTATAAAGAGAAGCGTGATGTGCTTTACATGCACTTACAACATGAAGAAGATGGACTGAAAAGACCAGGATGTTTTTCTCAAAATCCTAAAGAAAAAAAAAAGGTCTTATTTTTAATTTATCAAAACTTGGAAAATGTGGAGGCCAAGTAGATTTCCTTTTCTTATTTTTCATTTTAAATGAAAACCTTCACAACTACAGTTAATGAGCCCCGATCTAGACTAGAATAGATCCATGAGTTTTAAGGTTATAGTTTTAAAGAAATTTCTCAATACAACTGAAAAGCATTCTTGTCCCAATATAATGATGTTTGCCTGCCATCCATCATGACTGTATTTAAACCATTAATAATATTCTACAGCTATAGCCATTGATATGCTGCTGGTTTGTGGCAACAAAGTGCAATGAGGCTGGCACCCTAGCTCTTCTCTTCTGTATTGTCAAGGAAGCCTCTCTTTTGTTATTTCTCCTGATTCCTGGGCCTTCCTGTGTGACCCTGGTGGTGACAGCCTCCTCATCCCAGAGGCTTTGCCTTGCAAAGCTACTGCATTCAAACAGTCACCTTTGACCTCCTGTCTGGAATTAGACAGGGGTGAGTGTTACTTTATAAATACCTGTACATGTATGAGACCTGCTACAGAAATCAAATTAGCTTATTTATTCTAGCCCTGTCTGTTGGGCATTCATAAAGTTGATTCAAGGAAATGTGAGGCCATCAGGCACATATTGACATTCCCTTCTAAAAATAGTTGATGGCGTAGCCTCACATATATAAGAAAAAACCCCACCTGTTACAGGTGCATTCAAGAACAGTATTTCCCCTTCTTTAGAGACTTCTGCAGGTATATAGCTTCCTTTTTATGTCCGACAGCAGAACCATAGTCTCATCTACAGAGGAGATGCACCCTGAATGTTTAAAGTAGAAGTCTTGGCACTATTACACCTGTGTCTAGATAAGCTGTTTACAGCAGTAGAAATGAAGGCTGACCTGTGCCAGTGGCATAAACAGTAGACCAGAAAAAGGCTTCTTCATAATAAAACAAAGAATAAAAAATCTGTTTTCCTAACCTTGCTAAAGACTGTCCAATGACATAAAATAAATTAGGTTTTTTGCTTTCTCATGTAAGCGAAGGCACTAAAAATCTTACCTAAAAGACTAACAACAGCTACTCTATCCATAATCTCAGGTCACAGGCAGAGAATTTCTGAGATGTTACATTTGGACAAAATCTCTGTTTTTTCCAATAGAAATCCCCCAGGCGCTCTCTAACTCCATATGTTTTATTTTAGCTATGTCTCCAATGTAGCAAGAAATCCATGGTACACGGTATTTAATCCCCATAGAGTAAGATGTGCGTATCTCAAGATGAGGCTGACATGCACAGCAACATTTATGTAAGGCTGGAGAGAGAGGGGAAGGATTGTGCTTATAATCGTATTGATTGTCATTTGAAAAATTAATTGTGGTAACTTTAATTGGTTTTACTTGTTTCCCTTGCTTTCCTACAGCACCTTTCACACCTAACACATTCAGCGTATGAGACCTATTTCAGCTGAGACAGCAACGTACTTGCTGTGGGGGTAAACTACGTCAGCATAGGGGCACGTGAACTGGCAGGTTCAGGCAGGTGCCAACCCACTCCGCTGAGCTATAGGCATCAAACTGAGCCTCCTGTGAGTACCTCCGTGCTACCCAACAGCTTTGCTGCCCCTTGGCACCCACACTCTGATCCTCTGGTCACTTGCTGCACGTCAGTTAGTTTGTTTCTGGGTCCCCTTTTGGACCAAATCCTTCCAAAATGCACTTGTGGAGGCAGTTTGCTCCAACGACCATTTCTTGTAGGTGCAGGGAGGAGAGAGCCTGGATGAGAATGCTTGCATCACTTACTCCCTGTAGTTGTATCTTTTGCAGAATTGTGTTATCCTAAATAAGGAGCCTTATTGCTACCTACGCCTCCCCAGTGGGGGAGAGAGACAAGGGTATAGAAGCAAGTGATGCTGCCCCCACGTACCTATCTCTGCCCACAAACAAAGGTGGTGAGGGCCTTCATTTTGCTGCCTTGGTAGTGGGTTATCGCTGTCAGGGTCCCAGTGAAGGTGGACAGCAAAGAACACCTCTGAGATGGCAATAGTAGGTGTGAAAACTTTGTGAATAACACCAAAGTAATGCCTTCCTTCTTGTCAGGGAAGTTTAAAGACCACTGGGGTCAGAAAGCAGGGGTTCTCCCATGCTCCCATGGTTGCCTTCCATGTGAAATAAGGGTCCTTCAGCCCCAGCAGAAGAGAACCCATTTTCTACACTCAACCCCCCTCCCCATTTCCCACAACAGGCCTTTTCCCAAAGACATCTGTCACCCTAACACTAGCTATGATGGGCTGCTGCCAGGCCGTGCAATGCCCACTGCTTTTTTAAGACCAGCCAGGTCATCTGACATTCATTTCTTCTTACTGTTGCATTTTCTGTTTTATGTCAGCTTGCCAGGAAGGAGCCCATGTGGAGCAGAAGCCAGAGCACAGCCCGTGGGCAGTCCCCCCGATTACCTTGGAGAGCCACTTCTGTATCTTAACACATGGCTACCTCTTGCGAGCAATGGACACGCATGGACTATAAAAAAGATGAGTGTTGAACCTTACAGAGAAGAAGATTTGTTTTCAAGCTGCTGTCTAGACATTTCTCATGTGTATTTAAGAACTTCAGGCTATGTAAAAAAGACCTTCTTTTTCCTCCCTAAATCTACATAAGAAAGCACAGTCAATAATCTGTGTAAACAATATGCAGTTATTTCACTGTAATTTTCTAAATGTCTGGGGGCGAAGTTCCAGCAGGATTGCAGTAATAAGAAACCAGAGAGTGTAACTTGTTCTCCAAAGCTGGATACGCAACACACAATCTCTGACATGGCTTACACAGAGCACTCATTAAGTGATATGATGTACACATTCTCCTACCATAATAAGTGTCAGCGCTGCTGCTTAACTGCAAGAAGCATCTTGCCCTGCAACTGCTTATAAAACAAAGCAGATTATTAAAATAATTGGAAAAGAAAAATTTCGAAAATTGAATTTGACTTCTTTGCTAAGATTGAACTGGTCTCACAGGATGAAAAAAAGTCTTTGATTTATAAGAACTAATGTGATTCTGACTTAAAAACACAGTCTTTGAAATATAACCACAGGGTTCAATTTTGCCATTCCTACATCAGTTCTGAATGTATTTTTGAGAAGATTAAAGGCCTCTTGCCATATCTATGGAGTTACTTGGAAAGACTTTGGTTCTCATCCTTCTGAACACAACAGTGTAGATATTGGTTTTGGTTTCCTGCTATTCAGCTGAATGATTACATTTTTTTCAGGCAGAGTTTCAGGATGGTTCATTGCCTTTGATGCTCTAATTACCTCTTTTCAGCTGTGTGTGTGCCTTATTAGTAATGAAAGCAAACCTTTCAAGTGCATGAGCACTGCATATGAGCTTGTTTAATAATTCATGCATTTTGGCCTAATTAGTACAAAAGATATTCTAAAACTATAGTTTTCTGATGTATTTTTAAAAAAGGGAAATTTGCTGTATTTAGAAACTCTGAGTTTGTACACAAATAATAAACATCCACTCAAATCTGAATGCAGCAATTTAAGACAGAGCTACTTCAGTCTTTTTTTTTTTTTTTTTTCCTGAGTGGACAACCCGCTAATGGAATATTTAGTATAGTACATTTAAGAAAATGTTAGCTTCAAAAAATATTTGTAAACATATGCTAAAAGTCACTTACTGTGATATTTACCATAAGCAACACATTCTACCAAAAAGGGAGTATTTTCTGAGTTAAAGCATCACTGGGCAAAAAAATTATTTAGCCTTATTTCAGTACAACTAAGCTGACATGAAACATTTTGCAAAGGCAATACCTTTGCAAAATTTTATCTTTTTTCCTGAGGTCAGCTTCAGGTATGGGAAGGGCTGGGATGAATTTGACAGGTTACATGGAGGGAAAAATATCACGGCTTAATTTTTCTGGAACTTTGTTCAGGACAGCTATCTTGTTTGCAGAACTAAAACAAGATGAGATGCACTCCTTTATCCCCAAAGACTTACCTTGTACCTCTTTCAAATGCCAGAGAGCTTGCATATATTTTTGCTTTCATCTGCTCCAGAAAAAATCTGAGGATTTGTGCTATATTCAATGCAAAGATCAGCACAGGCTGCAAAATGGATGCTCTTACCAAGTTGTCCCATGATAGCTATATGCATTTTCTCATGAATCCTAACTTACACTAAAGCAAAAGTCGTTTGCCTTCACAGTGCTCCAACACAGATACCCTCAGCGATGACTGCCTGCTTGCCACGTGAAGGCAACTCCATGCTATTTGAAAGACTATTTTAGAACTAATGAAAATGACAGGATATTTTGTTTAGCAAAGGTAAGAATAAGACTGGGTGAAGAGGGCATTCACACAATTTACTTCAATAGGTGAGTAGGTAAAAAAAGCTCTTGAAGAGCTCTCTGGCTTAATCTCACAGGGTCAGAGATCACGCCAGAATTGCATCCATACAGCTCTGTTAGCATGGATAAGGTGCCTTGCTGATGTAATTACGTTGGTTTGGGACCTGACTATACAACTCTTTATGGCATTGTGCGGGGCTGGGGGGTATACCAGTGCTGGTGAAGACGGAGTGCTGCTATATTTGGCATCTTTTGGCTTGTCCTGAGTTCAGAAGTGGAAACACTGATGGAATATTGTGTTTTTC